CCTATGATACACACTGAACAGAAGGGGGCAGACACTCAATGCTGGAGCTGCCCTCTGGTGGTCAGTGTGCTCTCACAGGGGGAATACTGCTTAGCCAGAAGCCAGGCTCACGGCTGGAGAGTGCAGCGACGGTGGTGAGAGCCTCTCTTGCCTCTGTGGCAGCACTAAGGATGTCCAACCATCCCCAGACTGCGAGAGGGCGCAGGCCAGGCTGAGGGACTCCCCAACGAGTGCACGAATTTCATCCACTGCACCTCTAGTATGATAAATGGCCTAACAGTGCTGTAAATACAGTGCTATCTGAGCAGATGGGACTGAACAGTAACTTTGTGTGGAAGAATCATAGAAGATTTCACAAAGGAGTTGATACTTAAGCTGAGCCTTCAGGTGTGATAGTAATTTACCTAATGGATAATAAAAGAAAGCTTTGTCAAATAAACAGATATAATAGGTATAATGGCATAAAGTTTTGAAAGGTGCATATTTGAAAAACAGTGAGATGCTTACTTGTGCTTTGAATCCAGTAGGAGATGAATAAAAGGAAATGAAATGGAAAGATAGGTTGGAGTCAAGTTCTAAGAGTCTTATGTTTTAGCATGAGGAATCGATAAGTAGAGGGAAGCAACAGATTCTTATCAGCACAGGAGTGTGTGATTTTTGTCTTAGGAAACTCATTGTCCTGTAGACGATGTGCAAGAATGAAGAGACAAGTATATGAACTTGTCAGTTGCCACTGAAGACCTAACCTAAGTAACATGAGGATGAAGAAGAAGGGACAGGTGCTTCTTAGGAAGAATTGATGAAACTTAGAATTGCCAGATTCTAGAGTTGGGTGGAGAAGATCAAGGCAAACCTCCCACCTCAAGCAGAAGGACCCTAATCAGCATTCCTATGGTTGACAATAAAGTCCACGATTAAACTCTTACAGTGAATGAAGAGGCACCAAAAAAGGAGCAGGCAGGCCAGCAGAGCAATCTTTAATATTTTTATGTATTTTAAATTATTTATTCACTTATGTATTTTAAAAAATCAAATGAAAAAAATGGTATACTATGAAAATTAAGTCTTCCTTCTCCTGTCTCCCAATCCTCTAGTTCCACTCCCTAGAAACAATCATTTTAACCACTTTTTTGTTTTGTGTAGCCTTTAAGAGAGAAAAGAAATATATGCATATGTCCAAAATGGTATCTTACTTTAATTTATTTTTAATATATATTTTTATTGATTTCAGAGAGGAAGAAAGAGGGAGAGATAGAAACATCAGTGAAGAGAGAGAATCATTGATCAGCTGCCGCCTGCACGCCCCCTGCTGGGAATCAAGCCCACAACCCAGGCATGTGCCCTGACCAGAAATTGAATCTTGACCTCCTGGTTCATAGGTCGACACTCAACCACTGAGCCACACCAGCCAGGCAAAAAATGGTATATTATTTTAGAGCTAGGTTTATTAAGGTTTAATTTACATGAATTAAATTCATCCTTTCTGGTATGCAGTTCTATGAGTTTTGACAAATGGACAGTATTGTGCCCACCACCACAATCAAGATGTTGAACAGCCCTGGCTGGTATGGTTCATTTGGTTGGTCATTGTCTCGTGCACACAAAGGTTTCTAGTTCAATTTCCAGTCAGGGTATATGCCCAGGTTGTGGGCTTGATCACCGTAGGGGGCGTGTAGGAGGCAGCCGATTGATGTTGTGCTCTCACATTAATGTTTTTCTCTCTCTCCCTCTCCCTCTTCATTTCTCTAAAAACTAATAAACTATTTTTTAAAATGTTGAACAGTTCTAACCCTACAAAGTTCTCGCACACCCCTGTTAGTCAACCTCTTACCCATCCTGAGTCCTGGCAACCACTGATCTATTTTCTATCCATAAAGTTATACCATTTCCAGAATGTCTAAATGCAATCCAGTAATATGAGCACCTTGAACCTGGCTCTTTCCATCAGAATACTTACTGTGTTTGAGAGCCATCCATATTGTTGCACATAAGAGTAGTTCACTCTTTCAACTGCTGAATAATCTCCATTGCATGGATGCACCACCATTTGTTTATTCACCCACCTGTTGAATGACATTTAGGCTGTTTCCAGGTTTGGCCAATTATGATCAGAGTGGCTATAACATTTGCGTATAGGTTTTTGTGTGAATATAGGTTTTCATTTCTCTGGAGTAAATACTCAGGAGTGGAGTTGTTGGATCAAATGGTCAGTGTTTAACCTTCTAAGAAACTGCCAGCTTGTTTTCCAAAGCGGTTGTAACTATTTTTTGTTACCACCAGCAGTGTGTGAGAATTCTAGTTGCTCCACATCCACACCAACATTTGGTGCTGTCAGTTTTTATGAAGTGTTTTCATTATTCCAGTAGGTGGGTAGTGAATGAGTGATGACATTGAGATATTTTCAGGTGCTTACTTGCCATCCATATATCTTCTTTGGCAAAGCATTGTAGAAAACTCCCATTTTTTAATTGGGTTGTTTATTGTATTGTTTTAGGCTCTGGGAAAGATTTGTGTTTTGCAAATATTTTATCCAAACTACTGCTTCTTTTTTTGTTCTCAACAATGTCTTTAAAAGAGAAATAGGCTTTTATTTTGAAGCAGTTCCATTTATTGATATTTCTATTACTGATCATGCTTTCAGGGTTGTATCTAAGAAATCTTTGCCTAAACCAAAGTTTCAAAGATTTTTCTCCTATGTTTTCTCCTAGTAGTTTTATAGTTTTAAGTTTTGCAATTAGACTTGTGATTCACAAAATGGTGACTTTAACCATGAACAAGATTATAACAATACTCTATATTGCACGTTACTTCAGAGTTTACAGAGTGATCTGTTAGACATTATCTCATTTGCTCATAATCCAGTGGTTTCACTTTTACTTCTGTTTTGTAGATGAGACTGACTGGGGAAGAAACATTCACCAAGCATAGTATGTGGAGGAACCAGCATACATTCTGGATCTTTTGGCTCCAAACCCATTGTCCTTATACAACACTACAGGGTTCTATTTGTGCAGTAGTAGACTCTGTGGGATTTTTTTCCTCAGTAAAGTTAAAAAAAGAAAGAAAAAGGAAATTCATTTATTCCTTTTATTCTTGAAAAGTCTTCTTATTCTTTTGCATGAAAAGATAGCCAATTTCCCTCTGATAAAGTAGAAAGTGAATGCAAAATCAGAAGTCCTAAAATTTAATGCCAGCCCCACCACTTCCTTGCTCTTTCAGCCTTAAGTTTATTGAGCCCCGTTTTGTTCATCTATAAAACATGTAAATACCCACCTTACAAGATTGTTGTGAAGAATAAATTAGATAAAATTTGTGAAAATACCTACCATAGTATCAGGCACATAGTAGATTTTATTACATGTTAACTTCTTTTCTTCCTGACACACCTATAATTTATACTTGCCAGTGGGACTCCAGTAACACATAAACTTCATTGTACTCTGATCAATACAAGATTCCACTTAGATTATTTTTATCTTTTGTTGATGGGCATTAGGATTGCAAACTTAGAAAATGAATATGTTAAATATATATATATAATTTTTCAGGAAGACTACAATAATATATATTCAGTCCTGAATTTATCCCAAAGAAAGAAATCCCCAAACCTATTTCAGTGACCCATTGTAGTGTTAAAGGTTAAATAAGTTAAGACCACACAGAGAGGAAGTGATGGATCTGTAAAACCCAGATCCACTTTATCCAAGTCCAATCTTATGCTTTTATACCCTACCATGCTCACTTTCCATACAAGTGGAGTCATTGGGTCATAGGCAGTTCCACTTTTAATTTTTTTGAAGAAACTCCTTACTGTTTTCCACAGCAGCTATACCAACCTGCATTCCCACCAACAGAGCACAAGGGTTCCCTTTTCTCCACATCCTTGCCAATACTTGTTTGTTGATTTATTGATGATAGCCATTCTGACAGGTCTGAGGTGATATCTCACTGTGGTTTTAATTTGCATTTCTTTGATGATTAGTGACATTGAGTACCTTTTCATATGTTTATTGGCTATCTGTATGTACTCTTTGGAGAAATGTCTATTCAGATCCTTTGCCCATTTTTTAATTGGATTGGTGTTTTTTGTTTGTTTGTTTTTGGTGTTGAGTTTTATAAGTTCTTTATAAATTTTGGATATCAATCCCTTATCAGATGTATCATTATTGAATATGTTCTCCCTTAACTGAGAATAGAGGGAACATACCTCAACATAATAAAGGCCATATATGACACCCACACCCACAGCCAACATCATACTCAATGGGCAGAAACCACAAATGTTTCCCTTAAGAACAGGAACAAAAGAGGGTTGTCTGTTTTCACCACTCTTTTTTTAAATATATTTTATTGATTTTTCACAGAGAGGAAGGGAGAGAGATAGGAAGTTAGAAACATCGATGAGAGAGAGACATCGATCAGCTGCCTCCTGCACACCTCCTACTGGGGATGTGCCCGCAACCCTGGTACATGCCCTTCACCGGAATCGAACCTGGGACCTTTCAGTCCGCAGGCCGATTCTCTATCCACTGAGCCAAACCGGTTTCGGCTGTTTTCACCACTCTTATTCAATATAGCCACAGAAATCAGACAAGAAGAAGAAATTAAAGGCATCCAAATTGTAAACAATGAAATAAAACTGTCATTATTTGCAGATGACATGATATTGTATATAGAGAACCCTGAATATTTCCCCCCCAAAAATACTAGAATTGATAAATGAATTCAGTAGAGTAGCAGGATACACACTAAATATTCATTAATCAGCTGCATTTTTATGCACCTATAATGAACTATCAGAAAGGGAAACTAAAGAACCTATCTCATTTACAATTGCATAAAAAATACCTAGGAATAAATTTAACTAAGGATGTAAAAGACCTGTTCTTGAAAAATTATATGACAATGAAGAAAGAAATTGAAGAAGATACGAATAGTAGAAGCATATACCATGTTCATGGATAGGAAGAATTAATATCATTATAATGCCTATACTACCCAAAGCAGTCTATAGATTCAATGCAATTCCTATCAAAATACCAATGGCATATTTCTCAGAATTAGAACAAATATTCCAAAAACTAATATGGAACTGCAAAAGATCCCAAATAACCACAGCAATCTTGAGAAAGAAGAACCAAGTTGGAGGAATCACACTACCTGATATCAAACTATACTACAAGGCCATAGTAATCAAAACAGCATGGTACTGGCATAAAAACAGGCATATAGATCAATTAATATTGAGTATAGTATGTTAATATTTAACAAAAGAACATAATATGGGCCAGAGATAATCTAATCAATACATGATGTCAGGAAAATTGGATAGATATGTGCAAAAAAATGAAATTAGACCACCTTTTACACCATATACATTAATCTAAAAGGGATTAAGGCTTAAAAGTAAGAATCAAAACCATAAAAATCCTAGAAAAAAACATAGGCAGTAAAATCTTGGACATTTTTTGTGGCAATATTTTTTCTGATATTTCTCCTGGGGCAAGGGATACCAAAGGAAAAATAAACAAATGGGACTACTATAGAGATTTTTGCACTGCAAAGGAAACCATCAACAAAGTGAAAAGACAACCACTCTAGCTTTTAACTCTCATCTTGACTTGACGCCTGTCAGGCCAGCAAGAAAAATCAATCCAAAGCATTAGATAATCTGCCTTGAGCAGAAAAGCTTTCTTGCTTGTGTTACTTTTAAATTGGCAACAAGCTTCCTTCTTGTCCTCCTGTGCTAGGTCATGTTATTGCCACCTACTCCCTAATAGCACAGACCATTATCCTGGATGACAGAGCCCTAAATGGTAATTGTTCAGAGCCTAATGCTAAAGTTGTTAATTTTCCTTTAGGTGTGGTATTCTGGGTTTTTCTCAATAATAAGTGGTAATTGTTAGGCTTAGTTCAGCTCATGGTTTTGTGTTATTTTGCTGATGCCAGCAGTTCTGAGCAGAGGGAGGTTGGAGGCAAGCAGCTTTCTGCAAGTGGACTTGCGGAATGCTGGTGTGCTCACCCTTTCTGTTTCCTCCTTTCAGGTTTGGCAGGGCACACCCAGGACCCAGCCAGGAACTAAGTGTCTATAGCTATAGGGTCAGCTTCCTGCAGCCCCAAAGACTAATGTGGCATATGACTGGAGGGACTACCTCTTTGTATTTTTTTATTAAGAAATTAATAACCTACAGTCAACAAAATGTTCTTGGAAAGAGATATGTCTTAATACAGAGGATTACCATGGGCACTGTAGGAAGCAAGGATGAAAAAATTGACCGTTTGTATAGAGAAGCCTGGAATTGGGGTCAATATAAACCATATGATAATAATCCCTACCAAAATTTGAGTGTCGCTGTATGCCAGATACTGCATTGAACACCGTGCCCGTACAATCTTGTTAAATTCAATACTCCTGATAATTCTATGAGTTAGATATTAACATTTCCAATTTACATGTTGAAGAAACCCAAGTCTCATAAAACCTAAGTAGATTGCTCTATATCATACAGCTAATAAGTAGCAGAGTTGAGATGGAAATTCAAGCCTGCTTACTCCAAAGCCTTTGCTTTTAGCCACATTTGGCTACTGTCCCTCCCTAAAGTCAAATGAGGCCTTGTGAGTTATGAGAACAGGTAACTCTCCAGCAGTGGTCACAGAGTCGGGGCCCACTGGACATTTCTGCATGTGGATGTGTTTTGTTTGGCCCAAATAGTTTCGACTTGCCTGGAATTTCTTTTTTCCTATTTTAATGGGTTGTTATTTTAAAATTTAGGAGATATGACATAAAAATCCAGATAAGAGGTCTGGCTTTGTTTAAAAATAGGAAGATCTGCCAACAAAAGACTGGAGCGGCAAGTCAACCTCCTTTAAACAAGGCCTGCTCTTCCCTCTTTACCAATGTCCCAAGTCCTCCTTGGTGTCTTCCTGGCCCCAGGACCAGTGTGAGTGGTCATTTATCAGCAGGCTTGCACTGCTGTTTGCCATATTGTAGCCTTAGAAGGGAATTGAACTTTTTGAGTACTCAAGTCTCTATCAAAATTTTTCTTATACATGGCCCATTTTTTTACTTGAATTATTTTTCTGCATTTGAGATGGTGACCATACCCTGAAGCTGGGCAAAAACAGGCGCAAAATTGACTTGTTCTATTTTATTGGAACCACATTCATAGTGGAAGCAATTCCCTGGCCCTGAGAGCAGCAATCAGGCCTTGAAATCTGCTTACCACCTGTGATTGGCCAGCCTAGGGTGGCCCTTCCTGAAGCCCTTCTGCTACGAGGCTGCTGAGAGCTGCCGAGGGCTGTGGCCACCTCCCTATATCTCCCTCTAACGATGTCTCCATCTTTCCTTCTGCTCCCCAGTGCCCAGCATGCAGTTTGCCAAGGACTTGCTCCTAGTGAAGGAGAAGGAGGGTGTTCTGCACGTGCCTATCATTCGGAGTGGAGACCTGAGCTATGAGTCGTCGGTGAGGTGCTATACTCAGAGCCAGTCGGCTAAGGTCACAGAGGACTTTGAAGAGAGAAGAAATACAGACTCTTCACGGATTACGTTTCTGAAAGGGGAGAAAGTAAGTAGATTTGTGGTGACTGAATGATGAGATTCTCTTCGTCCTTGATGCCTTTATTTGTTCACAGTGAAGTAATTTAGGTAAATTCTGAACATTTTAGGATATTTCTTACTAATTGATGATATTTTTTAGTTATATCATACATTCTATGTGGCTATCTTGGTCTCTCACTTAAAACCAAACACATATATCATTGGTTGAGATGGGAAATGTAGGTGATGAGTAATATCTTTGGAATTTATCAGAATCAAATGAACAAGGCTCCTCTTAACTTGAAACATTAGAGACGAAGAGATTCTACATGTAAAGGAGGAATAGACAATACTCTAATACCTTGGCCTCTGTCCTAGGGCAACATACATGCTAATAGAACCAATAGACTAGGACCAGATGAGAAGACATTGAGCAGATGCAAGTCAGTTGAATAGCAATGCACAGTGCATGGGAATCCCTGAAAAATGCCAATCACTAAGTATGGCTGCATCAAACTCGGGGTATGCCAAAAATATATATTGAATGAGACTCACATTTCTCCATTTTTGGATCTCAATTGCAGACGGTTGATTCAATTGTGCCCCTTGATTCAAGGCACAAGCCCTGGTGCCTACCTTATGCCCCCAGGGGATCAAGCCCAAAACTCGGTCTTGTGCCCTGACTGGGAATCAAACCAGTGACCTCCTGGTGCATAGGTCAACACTCACTGAATCACACCTGCAGGCTGTATCTCCTACTTTTTTTTTAAGAGAGAGAGTAGGAGGGAAGGGGAGAGACAGCGAGAGAAGCGCATCGATTGATTGCCTCCTGCACACACCCTGACCAGGGCCTGGGGATGGAGCCTACAACCGGGGTATGTACCCTTGACCAGAATTGAACCCAAGACCCTTAAGTCCTCGGGCTGACGCTCTATCAGCTGAGCCAAACCAGCTAGAGCTGCATCTACTACCTTTTACCCACCTGTTCTCAGCAATAGACAGTGAGGAACCATAGAAATAGCCGACAGTCAACTCCTCACACTACACCACCACTATAATGCTGCAGTGCACATCCTCATACTTATCCACTCACAGATGTAAGATGGAATTTCTTTGGATACATATATAGCAGCCAAATTGCTGTGCCGTAGGGTATGCATGTGCTTAATTTAAAAAAAAGGAATATTGTCAGAATACTTTCCAGAATCTCACCAGCAATACACAAGGATTGTTGTAACCCAACATCCTCTTCAACACTTAGCATTATTCATCTTTTGACTTTTTGCTAATCTAATATGTGTAAAGTTACACCTTGTTTTAATTTGCATTTTTCTAATTAATGGTGGTTTATACACTTGTTAACTTATTGAACTTTCACTTATTGAAATTTATTATTATTTTAATCCTCACTAGAGGATATTTTTTCCATTGATTTCTAGAGAAAGTGGGAGGGAGGAGAGGTAGACACACACACACACACACACACACCGATTGGTTGCCTCCCAACAGACCCCTACCAGGGCTGGAGAACCTGCAACCAAGGTATGTGCCCTTAACAGGGAATTGATGCTGTGACCCTTCAGTCCATGGGGCAATGGTCTAACCATTGAAATAACTGGCCAGGGCAAAAATGTATTATTTTAATCCTCTGTTCCTTATTTTGTTACATTGCTGTCTTTTTCTTACTGATCTGCTATACTTTTTTAAATATTCTAAATATTAATTCCTTACCAGTTAGACATTTTAGATATTATAGATGTACTTTCACTTTCTGTCACTTATCTATTACCTTGAACCATGATGTTCTTAGTTGAACAGAAATCTTTGATTTTGATACAATCTAATGCATCTAATTTTGGTTTTATGATTAGTCCTTTTGAAGTTTAGCATAAGAAGACCTTACCCATACCAGTTCACCCCAAATTATTTTTCTGTTCATATTTAATAACAATAAAAAAGTGATAGCTTTCTTCTTTGGGACTCTCAGTCTATTACATATTTATGATGCAGAAAAGCCTGGTTCAGTTATGTATTTTATAAGAATTTTACTGGTGGCAGGTTGAAGCATGTACTTAAAAATACACACAAATACTACAGATACAATCTTAATCTTTGAGTCTACATGTCTGTATTTGTTTTAAGTTCAAAAAAGAATTCTCTACCTATCCAAGAGACAGTTTGTCATTTAATAAAATTATAAAGAAATATAGTCTAATAGTCTAAATGTTACCCACATGACAACCTATCTATCATCATTCATAAGCACACTTGGGAATCTTCATTTTTCTTGGCTTACTAAGCAATATGTCTTTGGAACTTGTCATTCACTAGAATGTCTTCTTTTAAAGATATCCTGAAGATTCACTACTAAATTCATATTTTCTATAAAAAATTGTTATTGTAAGAAAGATGTGGTAGGGGGCAAAAAGGAACATTCTTCAGGGATTTAAAACCAGGTTAGCAAGCCACATATCATGTTCACAGGCATGCTCTCCTTTCACTTAGTGTAATTAGGAAGTATGAGAATGAAACTTCTCTACACCCACATAGTCTATGCAATATGGTAGTATAGTGGATTTTAAATGGTTCAACTAAAAATAATCCTACTTATCACATGAAGCCACCATTGAGGCTGCTCTGTTTTCCAAAATATTGTGACCTTATCTTACATATCTCAAGGACACAATTCCCAGTAGATAATGATCATTTTGAGAAACACTATTTCTTTGCATCAAACAGGGGTTTCGGTTATATTCTGAGACTCAATCAATACTCAGAAGTTTTCAGATGAGACAACATTTGGCAGCACATTTGAGAATTCTGCAGCACTTAAAGGTGTCCTTAGCCTAACAGGAAGCCTTTCTAAGCTCTTTATAAGACTATTCCATTTTTACAATGGACAAGGAACATTGTTCAGCTCTCCAGGAAGCCTAATCCATTTGTTAAACCCCAACATCAGAAATCTACCTATTATAACATGTACCAGTGTATTGATCAGCCCAGGCAAAGTGTGGAAAAGTGTGCAAATGTTCTGCACATGATCATTAGTGGGTTCTGTGTTTGATCTTCTTTTTCATAACTCATCACCAATAATTCAAATGATTTGGAATGTTCTCATACGAGGCTCCACATATGGGTAAGTCCCACATAGGCATGAACTCCTAGATAACATTCTATTTTAACTAGAATTTGTGTTGACTCTTTGATGCTACAAAGAAGAACGATCATTTTCTAGGAAAATCAAGGAAGTTATTGACATCTCAATACAAATTTGACTATCTTGTTCCCTTGACTCTAGATGAAGAACTGCACTGTCTCCATCCATGATGACTCGATGTTTGAGCCTGAGGAACAGTTCAGGGTCTTCCTCGGCCTTCCCCTTGGGAATCACTGGAGTGGAGCCAGAGTTGGAAAGAATAGCATGGCCACCATCACCATATCCAATGATGAAGATGGTAACCACTACTCTAATGTACACTTGCTGTGCATCACATTTACTAACCATGTCATTATAAGTGTCTTGAAAAATGAAAGGGCTACAAAAATGCCTACTGATGACAGTCCTGCATTATATTTATAACATATTGGCAGCAAATAATCATCGTCTACAAAGCTCCTATAAGTTTACTAGGGCTATAGGTAGTTTTAATCTCATTATTCCCTACCACACTGCCAAGAGAAAGGAATGAGTATGGTTAAAGACTAGGACAGAGACACTAAGACAGGCAGAGAATAAAACTATTTAAATCACTGCAGTTGGAGCAAAATTGGAAATACAATCAGAATGAGTTGAATCCAATGAACTGATTTAAACACTGAAATTAGAAAAGTCTGATTTCTCAGTTTTCTTCCATTAACTTGGCCTACTAACCTAAAAAAACAAATCTTAAATTCTTTGGTCAGGTTGTAGTAAAGAGTGCCCCATACACCAGGGAAAACAAAATCTGTTCCAAATTGAGACATAATTGTTCTATTAAAATTGATATTTTAATGAGTTAATGGATAATAACATTATACATAGTAATATCAATTTTATTTAATATTTATACCACTATTCATCCTCACATATATAAAATCAGGGACTAATTTGGACATTGGGTGAAATAAGAAAAGCCAGCCTGGGAGCTGAATTACTCCTTTACCCAAGGAAACTCAGGTTCTCCCCCTGCAGTGACCCACTCCCAGGCACACAGGGAAGCCAGTGGCCGAAGCTCAGAGGGGTAACAAATTCACAGTGTGTTGCAGTGACACACCTAAGTTTCAAAAACCATTCTTTTTTAAAACTCTGCTGTCTCAAATGAGGCTTATCTTCTACAATTAGAAAGAATTGACTTTCTGAGGGGGGAAATGAACACAGAGACTCTAGAAATGTCTGCAAAATTTTATATGTGAAAAATGGTATACAACTTGTAATTGCTCTGAATTGTTTATCTTATTCTCTCTACCACTACCACTTTGCCCTTCCCCATAAGAACATATCGTAAAAAGGCATAATTTGATATTTTTCTAAAAATTGTCACTAGATCATTAACCGTACCCTAGCAATAACAATAATACTTTAAACCAGAATGTGTTCAGAAGTCTTCCGTTCCTGAATTATCGTTGCAGTCAGTCACTGAAACCACCCATTCTTAACTGAATAACCTGTGAGAAGTTAGGAAAAGCTGAGGGTCGGGGGAGGGGAGAGCTCCCGGAAGGAGGATTCAAAGGACCAGAGATGAGAGATGCATTTGGTAAAATTAAGTTACATATAAATGAGGTAAATTATTAACCTTAGAAATTCATGTATCATCAATGAAAAGGAGTTGATTCATGCAATCAGTTGATACAAATTTATCAGTTGCTTACTGTGGCTCAGTACCTTGATAAAGCATGCACATTTTAAAACATTCTGAGTTGTAATGCCTTGGTGGAAACTTGGACATCGTGCTTCTAAAGTCCTTAAAAATATTTCCCTCACTATCCTGTTTTTAATAAGAAATGAATAAGACATGACTTCTATAAAATCAGAAATGAATTTCTTTTTCCCAAGCGTTGCTTAAATACTGATTGATTTTCATAACAGTAAGGCATTTTGTCTTTGTGCTGTTAACTGTGAAAAATCCTTCTTATCATTAGCAGGCATTTCCATGGGAGTCGGAATCTTTCCTGCTTTTCTAACTTGCTCTTGTTTCCCTGACCATGTTTCTTCAGCCCCCACCATTGAGTTTGAAGAAGCTGCGTACCAAGTCCGGGAACCCTCGGGACCTGACGCCACGGCCATTCTGAACATCAAGGTGATCCGCAAAGGGGATCAGAACAGGACGTCCAAGATCCGCTGTAGCACGCGGGACGGGTCTGCCCAGTCTGGTGTGGATTACTACCCGAAGAGCCGAGTCTTGAAGTTCAGTCCCGGTAACTGAATGCTAATCCCCACATGTGGGTTTTACTGAGTAGAGAACCTAATATCTAATATTTAAGGAAAGGAATGAGCAGAAAAATAAAAGAGGAAAACTCCAATAACATAAAGTATTTTTTAAGCACACACTTGAGATGGAAGGAGTCTTTATAATTTTTAGTTAGTAAAAATGGCAT